GACATGACCTCCTAGATTCCAGCCTCTCGCTCTATTAAACTAATGAACTACGGAAGCTCAACGTGAGTTAAAAATTATAAAACTTTCTGTTAAATTAACAGCGAATTTTAAGAACTTACTTGAGTCTAATTCTTACTTCAATGGTCTAAAAAGGACCACTGAAGCCAGATAAATAAAGATTGGCAAAATGGAAATAATAACAGAAACACGCAGGTCTTCTTAAAGAGGAGACTCCAATCGGATATTCCATAAATAAACACCTTTGTGTGTAACTTGACATGAAATAAATTATCTTATCTTTTTTTTTTTTTCCGGGCTAAATTGAATTTAGAATCGTACGGCGGATGTTTTCCAACAGGGATATATAATTTATCAGAATTCTTGGACGGAAGACAAGATTGTCAGCTTTTAGTGGTAAACTGTTTATGTCTTGAAGAAAATGAAAATTTCCAACATTCTTCGACGCAATTTGCTGAAACTTCGTTGGTTAACCAATGTTGATAAGGAGAAAGCGTATACCAAGGAGAATTGAAACCGAAACCGGAGAACAATGACGTCGTATGGAAAGATTGGACTTTTACAGGCAAATATGTTTTTAATCTCTTTGACTCGATGGCTAATGCTTTTGGCCAATAAAATTTTCCTGAATTTGTTGATTCCTTCATTTGTTGATTTCCTTATCCCGATGTACCCTCTATAAAGCTTTAGATTTGAATTGTGCTGAGGAAAAATCGTTAGATGCACAGCCAATTTTATTAAAGTTGAAGTTAATTTTTAAGTTTAATGGGGTGGAGTATATTTGATGTATTAAGCACGATTTGAAAGTGAACTTAATAGGCGGATAATACATAAATATCCATTCTGATCATTCATGCTGTTAAAGAGCCCTTTCAACCATTCTTGTACAGTCCCCGCTTCAATAAAAGAATAGCTTTTACAGCGCTGGAAGTTTGAAATTGTTTGACATTAAGCTTATTAATTTTAAACGTATGTACTGTCATTCTACTGAGTAGAAGACTTGAATTCAAAGATTTTAAGAGGGCATGTCCCCGATTCTTCCTGAAAAAACACATGTAAGCAGTGTTTTGAAGCTAAGAAAATTGGAAGAAGACTAGACCGGGGTTAGAGAGCATGAAAGAAGCAAGTAAATCTGAGTGCAGGTTTGAAGAAGGCAACAAACAAGAAGTAATCATGTGCTAGAAATGAATGAAGGCTTTGTAATCTCAATACACGTATGTAGTCTAATAAGTTGTTGGCTTGTTCTACCGATACCCGAGTACCTGCTGCTCTAACAATTTCTACCCCCTTAGCTCCAGAAAATAGGA